GACAGTGGCGTTCTATGTGAACAAACAAGGCTCAACGAGATCACTGAACCTATTGACTTTAAGCTTTCAACTGTTCGATCTAATCCACGATCTCAACCTACATGTCAGAGCATGTCACATTCCCGGAGCCAAGAATGTACTAGCAGACGCACTCTCTCGGCCACATCAACCGTCACCGACAGAATGGATGCTCAATACAGAAATATTTGCACAGATAATCAAGCAAATAGGAGCGCCACTAGTAGATCTATCCGCCACACGCTTCAACAATCAGCTACCGACATTCGTGTCACCAGTCCCAGACCCACAAGCATGGGCAACGGACGCTCTAAGCATATCCTGGGAAGGCCTCAATGCGTACGCGTTTCCGCCGCCAGCAATAATACCTCAAGTGTTACAGAAAATCAGACAAACACAGAGCCTCCAACTCACTTTGGTCGCGCCCTACTGGCCAGCCAGAACGTGGTTTCCCATTCTAATTCAAGAAATCGGTCAACCGACACTAGAGCTACCCAAGCGCTCAAATCTATTAGTACATCCACACACCAAACAGGTGCACGGAAGCCCAGAAGTATTCCAACTTCACGTATGGACTGTATTAAAATGTGTTTAAACAAGAGAGGATATTCTACCAGGGCGGCAAAAGCGGTCACGCTTGCCTTACGCAATTCTACACGTAACTTGTACGACGACAAGTGGCACAGTTTCGAAAATTACGCAGCAAATAAGGGATTTACAGCGAGAGATGCTACTCATCCACAAGTGGCAGATTATTTGTGTTACTTACGGCAAAACAAACATTTAAAAGGCTCGACATTGTCAACATATCTTGCCGCGCTTAGTTCTGTGATTACTATGAGAACGGGTGTCAAATTGACTAAAACTCCAGAGTTACTGGCCTTACTACGTGCTTTCCGATTAGAGGACCAAAAGCGGAAGTTCCATGCCCCAGCTTGGGATCTGAATATAGTGCTACAACACCTCACAAGTGAGGCTTATGAACCGTTGGAATCGACAACTTTTGAATTTCTCTCACAGAAAACGCTTTTCCTGTTATCTCTAGCCACGGCAGCCAGGATGTCAGAAATTCACGCACTAGATTATGAGAGGATACAGTTTGATGACAATCAAAACACAGCACACCTGGGATTAAGATGGGATTTCATCGCCAAAAATCAACTACCAGGTCAACCAGACAGGTTATTCCATATCCCTGCACTATCCTCGATTCTCGGATCTCAAGATACACTGGACTTATCTCTATGCCCAGTCAGAGCTCTCAAAATCTATTTACGACGTTCCAAAACAAGGCGAAGATTTCTCAAACGATTATTCATCCCCTTATCGGCAACAACTCAGACAGAAGTCTCTCGTACCACCATATCTATATGGATAAGAACTGTCATACTTCGCGCCCACAAGGCAGCAGGCCTGGACCCTCCAACAGCATCAAATCCCCATGAGATCAGGGCATTGGCTTCCACTCTCGCCCTACACGGTAACTGTTCATTGAATACAATTATGGAAGGATGCTTTTGGAAATCTAACATGGTGTTTGCTAATCACTATCTGAGAGATATCACCACCGAGGACGTCTCAGGTATTCACCATTTCGGTCCCTTGGTCCTCGCACAGCAGTTGACAGTCCCTCGTAAACGTTAACAGATAGTCTTACGAGATTAATATGCATAATTGATACATGCATTATCTAGCTTATAACTCTACGGAGTTCTAGGGCTATGTATATACTTAGCTTAGGTCTACTCAGCCTTAAGTTTTACTGATGATTATGTTCAGTTGTATAGCTTCTCTATCAGAGTCGCTTTTATATCTTATTGATAATATCATAGTATATTATTATTGTAATACCCCAGTATGGCAATATATAAACCTATGGCTTATAATAGAGGAAATATCCTAAGTCTATGCCTTTATGAAGTTCCCGTTAGTGGGTTATTACAGTTATATCTATATAAATCACTAATTTTATAAATCCAAAGTATTCTGTTTTTTCCCACCTCCGTTTCCGTAGGATTCTACAAGCAAAAGAGCATGAGTCAGGATAAGGAAAAATATGTGATTTTTAGAGTAAAATTGATATTTTATACTTATCCTGACTCATGAGGTAAGCCCTCCCATCCTCCCCACATAACACTTTGGATTTCCCTGTAAATTCAAGTGTTGGGCTCGCAAGATCAGGAGAGAGTGAAGCATGAGGCCAGAGGGTGGCGACACCTGTTCCCGCGCAAAGGGCAAGGGAGGCAACTCTTGGTGAGTACCAATTAGTGATTTTACATTGAAGGGAGCTTCAATTAAGGAGATACAAGTGTTCCACTATGTTCGCAAGAAGAAGAAGACATGAAGTCAGGATAAGTATAAAATATCAATTTTACTCTAAAAATTACATATTGTCATCTGTTATCCAGCGTTAGAGAGCATTGAATGTATAAAACATCCAGACATCAAGATGAATACCGATTTAAGCTGTTACTGTTTTTCACTTATCTTTGTATGTCAGTTCTTATTATCCTTTCCTTTTCAGGTATCACTTACAAAGCACAGAAGACAAGCCTCAGCGGAACTCTGAGATGGTGGCCTGATTGTAACACTGATGTAAATATGTATATGCGATGTATATATATGCACTGAACATTTTCTTTGTATAATCACAAAGCTAAATTTGCTTATGCCTCACTGTCAATCGCTTGCACAAATTAAATTGAAGTAGATTTTGGAAACGATTTGGACTTTGGTCTCAAAAAAGAAGGGGTGGGTTTCGTTTCTATGTCACAAGTAGAAAACTTTTCAATATCTTTCAGCAGAACTTAGCAGATGTATGAGACATACAGACATAGCTATTTGCAGATTTTTGGCATTTTTATTTTTCCTGGCTCCATGGAAACGATTCAGAGTTAGTTTCATAAGGGAGGGGTGGGTTTCAACTTGAAAACCTTTCATTATCTTTCTGCAAGACTTGGCAGACATATCAAACAGATCTTGAAGTGGTGCCTTTTGCTATTTGCAGATTTTTGGCATTTATATTTTTCATGATTTCCATGGAAGCGATTTGGACTTAGTCTAAAAAAATATCAAGTTGGACTTTAAGTAACTGCCAGATGATTTGTTCTTTCAAATATGTGGTGGCCGGGGGGATTGTGTCATCTTCTGATGGTTCTTGTTGGAATAGTTGTTAAGTCTGATATTGATTATTCTCCTTGTAAATATCCCTGTCTAGGTAACAATAGGTACAAAACATAATGGTCCCCTGTCATGGTTAGAAAATTCCTTCTTTTCTTGGAATTGTCATGTGTTTTGATGTACTTATTCATCAAATTGTGTTATAATTGAGGTATAAATTGAATATGTGATCGATGTAATGGTTTGAATGCAACTTGAAAGAACTAATTATCACAAAAAGTTATTTAGTTTTAAGATATAAACATCTCATAGGTCTCTCTTGTAACATTGTATTGTCAAAATTGTCACAGATACAATTCTACTTTCATCCATTCTTTCGATGACATTAAACATTTGCTATAATCTTCTTTGGATATTCAGATCTAGAATAATGATGAAATAACTGAGAAATTTGTGTTGGTTGAAACTTATTTTGAAGATGTCACAATAATACCGACATCTGCACAAGAAATCTTTGTAGTTTTTATGTGGTATGTCCCTTACCTATGATATATAAGTTTCATTATTTACATGTTATTCTTGTTATAATTTGTCAAAGTGTTAAATTTTTGTTCTTTTGTTACAACCAGACTGCCATAAACAAAACCAAATACACCAAAGTGTATGTTTTTCTGTTTGGAATATATATATATTTGTATATGTACAGCATGTGTAACTGTAATGTGGTGTATGGCATTTATGAAACAATACATGCAGTTATGTTATATGACCTTGTTTGTGTTATTTTCCCACTGTCTGATGTTAAATCTGCTTTCTATGATAGTATATCTCATCTTGATTGAATTGTTGGATTTCACCAAGTATTCTTATATTTGGCTGGCCTCATGAAAAGGCTGTTACATTTTTGAAAGTCACATCTACTTGCACACTGCAATTAGATAATTTCAAAGTAAAATCTCACAAAGAGCAATTCATTTAGATAATTTTAAGGTGTGTTGGCGTACAATAATGAAGGCTCTGCTTAATATGGTTTCAAGGATTATACATCTGCCATATACAATTCAGTGTTCCATTGTCCAGTTAGGGTACTTATAGAAGCAACAGAGGCACATAAACCATATTATAAATCTTTTCTACCAGAAATTTCTGCAGAAAAAAAAATTCTGCCAGAAATTTCTGCAGGAAAAAAAAAATCTGCCAGAAATTTCTGCAGAAATGCATTTCCAGAGCCAATTTGTGAGCTTATAATCACATGAACACACTTGCACATTATACTTTTGGATTCATCTCCTTGAGATCTTTCCAATGATATAAAAAATGTTTTTGTAGCATGCTTCCTTCTGGGTGTCAAGTTAGGACTGGCTGGCCATTCCTAAGTTGTCCCGCCCGGCCTTTTTGGGTCGCGTGAGCCGGGCCTATTTACACTTATCAGAGGGGTACACAAAGTCCGTGGTCCAGACTACCAGTTGTCCTTCTTCCATTTAGTGGAAACAGCGATGGCTGGGTGGGCTAGACAGCTGACTTTGTGTGCTAGCGATTAGGTGCCTGACTCTGAGGGTGTGGGTCCGGATTGGACTCAACCCGACAAAGTTACAAGCATCTGTAAAGTGTAATCCCAAATATAGCATGTGTTACATGCTTCCTGCTTGTATGTATTTCCGTAGACGGAAGTAGTGTGTAAGAATTTTTATATCAATGTAGCTCGGGGCAATGATTCCCTGTATCTTAGGTGTAATGCATTGGGTACGTGACATCTCAACTGGTAGTGGATGAAGGTTTGATCCCGATCATTAGTTGGGGACAGGCGTTCTTGTGTACATTTAAAGATGCGAGTGATCACAGAATGGGTATTTCTGTTTCAGCTTTAACAGAGGCATCAGAATAACCAAGGAAGTAATAGATACTATTCGCAGCCTTGTCCAAAGCGTGAAACAAGGAGTACAATTGAAAGGTATGCTTCCCAGGAAAGTGTGTCACATACATGCAAAAGACGGTAACAGATCTGGTTTAATCAACGACTGTTTTTGAATGTTCCCAAACGTGATGCATACGGGATTTTAGTACAGAAAACAGAAAACAGTTTCTCTCAGAAACCAATCACCAATCTTATTTTTTCAGGAAACCAACATTTGCCCACCTATACTTTCTCTTGCCGCTTAGTTTACAAAGAGGGACATAGCTGACATAGCTTATAACGGGATTAGGTGGTCAGGCGTGCTGACTTGGTTGACTCATGACATCGTATCAGAATTGTATAGATTGATGCTCATGATGTCAATTAATGAAATGTCTGGTCAAGTCTCAAGTATTTATAGATCGCAGTCATATAGACTGAAAATTGCTTATGGAGTATCCCGCTTCCTCGACGGCATGAATCATTGCGCGTCCTTCCTCCCCGACAGCGTGGATCATTGCGCATCCTTCTTCCTCGACAACTTGAATCATTGTGCGTCCTTCTTCTCTGATAGCAGGAATCATTGCACGTCCCTCTTCCCCGATGACATGGATCATTTCGCATCCTTCTTCTTTGATAATAAAAACGGCGTAAAACCACACTCAGTCAGTCAGTCTTTGATAGTGGGAATCATTGCACATCCTTCATCCCCGAAGTCGTGGATCATTGTGCATCCTTCTTCCTCGACAACTTGAATCATTGCGCGTCCTTCTTCTCTGATAGCGGGAATCGCATCATTCCTCCCAAATGACGTGGATCATTGCACATCCTTGTTCCTCGACAACTTGGATCATTGCACATCCTTGTTCCTTGACAACTTGGATCATAACGCATCCTTCTTCTCTGATAGCGGGAATCATTGCGCGTCCTTCCTCACCTATGGCGTGGATCATTGTGTGTCCTTTTGGAGTGAGATGACGTTTATATACTCACCCAAAATAGAAACGCATCATGAAAATTGCAGTTTCATGTAGCAATGAATTAAAACGTGATTCATTTTACAAAAGGTTTTGCTTTGCACCACAACAAAACGCACTATCCGTAAAATACCCGTATGTAACAGCATGATTTTCAATTTCAGCGTGTAGTGTCACAGAATACACAATTCACATGTAATGCACGTGAAAGTTGGGGATCAGATAGTCTCAATGATGGGTATAAAAGGTTGATCGCTGTCTGTCGATTATTCACTGTATTTGGCATATTGTTGACGAACGCAAAATGCCACGTCTAAGTGAAGCTAACCGTCATATCGCCATTGGTTTGCTTGAAGCTGGCCAGTCTCAACGTGCAGTTGCCCGACGCATGAATGTTCACCAAAGCACCATTTCACGGCTCTGGGAGAGATATCGCCGGCAGAATTCGGTAGCAGATGCCCCTCGTAGTGGGCGACCTCGAGTGACCACTGCGGCACAGGATCACTACATCCGGGTACATCACCTGTGTCATCGAACAGCTACGGCGACCAGTACCGCTCGACAAATACCCGGATTAAGGAGGCGTTCTGCACAGACCGTCAGGAACAGGTTGAGAGAGGCTGGTTTACGTGCCAGAAGACCTTATTTTGGCCCTGTGCTTCGACAACAACATCGTCGACATCGAGTTCAATGGTGCACCAACGTTCAGGCCTGGAACCTACCGAATTGGCGTAGAATCTGGTTCAGTGATGAATCACGATTTCTATTAAAGCGACGCGATGGAAGAATGCGGGAGTACAGACGTCGACGTGAACGTTTCGCCGACGCTTGCGTTCCCCAGGTGGACAGATTCGGCCGGGACAATGTCATGATGTGGGGAGCGATCACCTGCCGTAGGAGAAGTGATTTGGTGATGATCCAGGGCAACTTGACAGCTCAACGGTACTGTGACGAAATCCTACGCCCACACCTCCTTCCAATCATTGATCGCCAGAGGGAGTTGTTTCAACAGAACAATGCCAGGCCCCACACAACACGTCACACTAGAGATTTTCTCCAGAACCACAACATCAATGTGCTCCCCTGGCCCTCAAGTTCACCGGACTTAAACCCGATCGAACATCTCTGGGATGCCCTGGACAGACGGGTGTGATGCCATAACCCTCAGCCCCAGACACTTCAGCAACTGGCACAGGCACTACAGGCAGAGTGGGCTGCGATTGGAGAACATGAGATTCTGAGACTTATTCGTTCGATGCCGAGGTGATGCCGTGCAGTTCTGGATGCCCACGGTGGTCACACGAGGTATTGACTTCAGCGCCACAACACGTATCCATGTGACACTCAAACTGACTTTCCTCGAGTTGGTGCCAAAGACGGATAAGTCTGCATTCCCAGTGTGCAATTTCGCTATATTTCATTGACTCATAAAACCTACAAGATGTTTCAAAATAGACATAAAAATACAGTTTCTTTTTTGGGGGAGTATATTATCAGTCATTGGTTGCCCTCTCTTGCTTGGAAATACTCATGTCTGTAACGGTTGGAAAGAGTCCATTAATCCACACCAGAATCCCACACAAGTAATCACTTTAGTCCACGACAAACAAGTGGGTACTGGGAACACATGCTTGACTCATGCGTTATGTCATATTCTTTCAGAAAAAAGAAAACAAGAAAGAGAAAAAGAGAAACAAGAGGTGAAACGCACTTTGATGAAACTAGCAGATGAGTTGGACGAACACCAAAGAGGCATCCGTATCGCCAAGGCAACTTTTGCATCAGCTGCTGTTGCATCATCTACTGGTGGGTCAATATTTGCTCTACTTACTGGAAGAGGATCGCTCGTCGCTGTGTGTGGTATTGTTGGTGGGGCTGTCAGTGGAGCGGGGACTTACGCCACCAACATAGCTGAGAAGATCATCAACAGTAAGAAACTGGAAGCTGCCCAGGAAGCAATAAGAAAGATCAACGCCTCGTACTCCCACTCCACAAGCGTTGAAGGGGAAACAGGTGGACTTCGTGCAGCTACTACCGGCATAACCACAATGTTTGGTCTTCTTCAGCCTGTCCTCATAGGTCTCAACATTGCTGAGATTGTTTACAACAGCATCAAGATTGTCAAGAAATCCCCATCAGAAGTTGCAGAACAGATAAGGGCAATCGCCCGTAAGCTCGATTAAAGAATTCAAGGAGATATTTCAATGTCCAGAAGTGATTTGTTTGGTCTATTTGTTGTAGTATATATATAACCTCAGTCGAAGATTTGTATTTGAAACTATCAAACGTTAGCGATAGTGTACCAAAACTGGATCTTTGTCAGCACTAAAAAATAATTACATATGTTCAATTCTTTTATGCTTTAAAACATAAATTGATATAACTTCAAAAAGTTATAAAAATCATATAATGTGTAACTACTTGTTTGAGTGGCATTTTGGGAAGTACAATACTGAACAAGCTTTATGGATAACAAATTCTTTTATACTAGGCGCCATTAATAAAGAGTCAACTGATATGTAGCACATGTAAAGAAAAGTCTCTCAGAAATAATAGAACTAAGAGTGTCATCGTAATGTATAATGTGTTGACAAATGTGACACGTCATGAGAAAGGCAAGATTTATGGATGTCAACTTCTTTATTGTGAATAACATGACGTTTCGGAGTGCATGCTTGCTCCTTCATCAGGTAGTGGAAGTGTTCTTTGACTCGAGTGTTGATGGGTCGGGGTGTTTCGCCTATGTAACACTCTCCGCAATTACACTTTACTTTGTAAATGACACATTTCGGGTTGTTGTTGTTAGAATTGAGAAGGCTGGAGGACGCGATGAAGTACTAATGATTATCTTTTTACCTTTGAAAATCAACAATTTTGCTTTTAACTGCAGACATATTTGTTTCTTTTAGTTGAATTGTGTTGTATTTTAGAATTTAGGTTTTGTTGTTTGGTTTTTTTGCTTTTTGCTTTTAGTTGATTCCTTGAGCTTTTGATGTAATTGAAGTAATTTTGCCATACTTGAGTTAATTGAGTTTGTTCAAGTTAACTGTACGTCTAAATATATTTTGAAGTGATATTTTGTTCGAGCATCAAGTATCAAGTATAACACATTTCAGCAAACGTATAGTGTCTTTCTATTTCGTATATTGAGATGTTTCATGCAAGTGCTTAATGCATGGTCTTATATTGTAATTTCACAATAAACGTTACGTGCTTGTGCTCATTATTAGTTGTGTCATAGGTTGGATGTAGCTCTTGGTGTCTGCTTTTGACAACTTTATAAATACTATCGATTCTACGAAGATTTCAAAGAGCGCTTTACCGTAACAACTCTGGATCAAAGGTTCTTTGGTCTAGGCTTTACCATTCAAGGCCTCAATGGAATTTTCAAAATGTTTTCTTTTTGTCCGTCAGTGACAAAGCTTACGTCCGATTCAATGCCCTATTCAGGCGGTCGGTGATAACTAGACCATTTAGCGCTCAGGATACGCTCACCTTTTCTCCAATACCATCACTACTTGATAGTGACTCACAAACACATGCTCGTGATATGATATCCAAAGGTTCAATAAAACGCTGAATGACTTATAACTAATATTATTCAGTATTAATTTATTAATTTTCACTAGGTATGTAGGAAACACCATTTAGCCGACGGAGCAGACTCTGCTTGGTCGACAGAGGAGATACTATTTGGTCGACAGAGGAGATACTATTTGGTCGACAGAGGAGATACTATTTGGTCGACAGAGCAGACACATCTTAATCGACAGGACCGACATCATTTAGTCACCAGGGCAGACACTGTTTGGTCGACAGGGCAGGTACCATCTATTCGACGGGGCAGATCCCACTTAGTCGATGGGACAGACACGATTTAGACGACGGGACAGACGCTTTTTCGTCGACAGGGCAGGTCCCATTTAGACGACGGGGCAGGCACTATTTAGTCAACGTGGCAGACATTATTTGCTTGACAGGACAGACACCAGTTGACGGAGCAGACACAACTTAATCGGTAGGACCGACATCATTTAGTCGATGGGACAGACACAATTTGGTCGTCAGGGCAGACACTATTTACTCGACGGGCCAGACACCACTTAGTCGACAGGGCAGACACCACTTGGTCGACGGGGGAGACACTGTTTGATCGACAGGGGAGATATAACTTATTCGACAGGGCAGACTATGTTTGGTCGGTAGGGCAGACACAATTTGGTCGACAGGGCAGACACCATTTAGTGGGCGTGGCAGACACTGCTTGGTCACCAAGACAGACATCATTTAGTCGACAGGGCAGACACCATTTAGACGATGACATATAAGTCTCATGCCACGTATCGGTACAATCGCCAATGGCTGAAGGGATGGTATAAATCCAGCTAGGGTCCATGCAGGTAGCCAAAGTACTGTAAGTCCCCATAGTCCCTAGAGTGGTGGTGCCCCTTCGGTTGTTGGCGTTCCTCAGCCTTTTTTTTATTGTGTTGTCCTAATCTGAAATCCTATTTTGGAGATAGATGCTAGTTTTATTTCTTGATATTGTGATATTCTAGTCGGTTTTACTGTCCTTAGATGACGGGGTTTTATAATTTACCATAAATTATTATGTATAACAATTAAAATGTTCTCGTTACGATGTGGCTGAAATATTGCCGATGTGACGATATATATTAACTCACTCACTCATGCCACATTTAACACGCGTTGAACGCGAACGTGCAAATGACATGTCCCAGAACGGTTAAACTACTGGGGCTGTTACACATGAAGTAGACGGATGATGCACAATCTGAGGACACGTATGACGTCACATCATTACATCACAATCATATTCGGCTGCGTCATTTGTGTAATCGTTTTACCACCGCAACGTTAACCAATATCGCACTGTGAGGTGGCCTGACCACACGAAACCTTATACTGGACCGATTTTGACTCAAGCAAACCGTAGTTCCTGCCAAACTGCGGGTACTGACGTCATGGCGTGGCCATCGAGATCACCTGCCCTCAATCAAACATGTATTGGATGTTCTTGTAACAAATATTCGTGCCTTGAGACGCCAACACCAGAATGTTCAAGAGCTGGGCGCCATGTTGGTACAGCAGTGGTGCAGGTTGTCTGTGTTCATGGGTGTTAGGTGTTACGGGGTAAGCACATTAAATGAAACATAGAGAACAAGTAGGGTTGGTCAAAGTTAACACTCATCACGTACCACACGTGCATTTGTTTCACTGTTCCAACTACTGCGCTTACCTACGGAATACTGTAAGGAACATTCTCGCGATCTCACATTCTCGCGATCTCGACCTTTGGAAATAAGATAAAAGTGCCGAGATTGCGAGAACTCGAGATTTGGCCAAAATCTAGCGTTCTCGCATTCTCGTGTGTTTGGTACATAGCAAAGCTGACAACTCGATTTGTACATGCTGTCAAATCTCGCAATCTCCCAATATCGACTTGTCAAATAAGGCGACAAAAACACGAAATCGCGAGAATGCGACGTTTCATTTTCTCGCGTTCTCGCAATCTTGCATTCTCACACTTTTAGCCCACCATTGGGCCCGTAAGTAGGTCACAGCACTTCGCGAGACCTTCGTACTTCCGGTGACGAACAACATTTCATACCTGTTTCATGATCGTCAGTTGACAGTAAGGAACCGATATTCCTTACAGGAATAAAAAAAATTCCGACCTAACCATCCCCAAATTAGTCAATTATTACGACATTCAACAGCTGTGACAGCCAAGTATGGTTGTACACTTGGTCGGGACTAGTTAAGTCATATTGATGGTCGCGCAATTTGGAACTAGAACTACTTCTTGAATATACGCTTGCCACCGGAAATCTGGTACCGGTAGTAAGCTGGGCCCTGTCTCGCATATCAAGCCGGAACGCGCGCATAGGAAGCCGGGAACCAGCTTGGTACAAGAGGTTGTGCCTGGCGAGACTTACATCTAGCTGCACCCGGATTACCCCTACAATGTTGTAAATTTGTGCCGTAAGAAAAAGAATTGCTTTTGTTTTTAACAGATGTTTGATGTAACACGGGGGACTCACTTGACGCACTTGAACATCGGGGGCGGAAGGGTGGCCTAGTGGTTAAAACGTTCGCTCGTCACGCCGAAGACCGGGTCCTATTCCCCTAATGGGTACAATGTGTGAAACCCATTATTTCTGGTGTCTCCCGCCGTGATATTGCTGGAATATTACTAGAAACGGCGTAAAACTAAACTCACTCACTCACTCGAACAACCTGGATGCCCTTTCACACGGGTAAATAGACCTTTCAGATTTACTGATTGATAGTATGACTCCCCTGCAGTTACCAAGATAATTACTCAATCAAAATATGGTTGATGATGAGCCTCTCATCTCAAGGGATATATTAAAGATATGGAACTTTGTTTAAACATAGTTGTGGCTGTCTTTCTGCCGTATGCAGATTTCAAGACGACACTAAATGTTGAAATCATCGTCAAAAAATGACACATACACGAGTGAGTGAGTCTGGACTAGACAATCCAGTGATCAACAGTATGCGCATCGATCTATTCAGTTAGGAAACGATGACATGTGTCAACCAAGTCAGCGAGCCTGACCACCTGATCCAGTTAGTCGCCTCTTACGACAAGCATGGTTACTGAAGATCAATTCAAGCCCGTATCTTCACGGGTCGATACGTACAAGAGCGAGACCTTGTAGAAGTTGTCGTCGTAGTGGAAGTTGCCGTCGTAATCATTAATCGTCGTCGTATTCGTGTTATGCTTTAATCGGTGACAGATAGTAAACGAGGGAGGCGACAACATGATGGAAGTCATCAGACCGGGTAGAACCCAATCGGACTTGAAATTAATAGCTGTTTAAAAACTGAGAGATGTACTGGGGTAATCTGCCCCTCAATCCAAATTGAGAATATCTTTTTAAAATATCATGCTTTTAAGCTTGTCAGATACATAGATAATATTATACGAGCAAGTGTAATAATTTCTTTATTATCCATTTTATTCATGTACATTTGTGCAGTAAAACACGGTAAGCAAGTGTGACGGCCCTCTTCATTGACGTCACGTTCAAATTGTTTAATGACGTCACAGACGTCGAAATACAGAAACAATGGTTGCTAGGCAAAAGTGATAGGTGCACATGTGATTTATATGACTCTGGTTGGGGCCCGATCCACAAAGCGTTCGTAGCGCTACGACATTCGTAAGCCTATGATAAACTATAGAGTTACGACAGGTCGTAACGTTACGTACCCGTTGTGGATCGGAACCCTGGTTATGTTTCACCATATGGATAATAATGTCCATGGAAAGTCAAAGTTATGTACAAGATACTGTTGCCTTGCGATGAGTGATGGTGATGGGCGATGCTCATTATATCCATCACTGGTTTGTCCTGATTGTTTCTAGGCTAACCAAAACAGCCTCTTGCCTCCTTCTCAGACATAAGCAAAGCTGAGGAAGGGAATGTTTATGGATGTCATCTTCTTTATTATGAGGAACTAGGGCTGCGAAATAAAACCGGTTTACCGGTATTTACGTATTGCGATACGCTGATCGAAAACTGGTATTTTGACTTGCATTCGGAAAACTTCGTAACACTCGGAAATCTTCGGACATTTCCATTTTTCATTTGTGCCAAATATTATTCACATTTATATTTTTAATCATGAATAAACGTTTTTATTAAAGCTTAATCAAGCATAGTGATTTTGCTGTGTACTTGCTTTATAAATCAAGCATTACCTCGATTATAAGCAGTTTTTTTTGTAAAAATACTTCACGCAATATATTGCAATACATGCTTTTGCATCGCAATATGAAAATCCTCTGCAATACCCACCCCGATGAGGAACACAATTATTCGGAGTATATCCTTACTCCTCCGTGTGAATGGTAGGAAGCAGAGAGCATATATATGTACATGTCAGAACAACAAAAGTAATAAGTCAAAAAAGATGCAGGCTAAACAATAGAAGCCAACAGTTAACTGGCGTTGATGTGTGATTGGCAAAGGACAAATGGACGCCAACACTGAACTGTTGATTAGAGCTGAAAGGACGCCAACAGTTAACAGTTAAATAGTGTTAAACAGTGCAAAGCTAGTTCATGCACCTAGTGGTACCCAATCTGGCATGAAATAATCAGCATCAGTGAACTCCGAGGCAAGCCAGGAACCAGCTCTTGGATAATCTTTGTAGTACACGGTGTACCCATTGCTCAGCCAGGCGGCCCACCATCCGAATGTCCCCACTGTCATGATCATGTGATCACACAAGGTCAAGGTTGCAAAGTCCAAATAAGGATCTGTGTTGTCCATTAGAATAACATCCGGGGACTGTAGATTTTTTCGACACCATCTTTTGTCATCGGTTGCAATAAGAAAAATGGGATCACGAAACTTTGTTTTCATATGTCTGATAGCTTTACGTATGTAGGACAAGGGGGCTGATGTGTAACCCATCTCCCTGTACTGTGTCATATCCGTCCTTCGTACGTGCAACCCGATGACGGATCTGTTTTTATACTGACCTGTGTATTTCTGGAAACACTGAGCGCTGAGATTCCGGTATTTTTGAACGAACGTAAATTCCTTTCTTATTTCAGTTCTGATAGAGTAGAAGTACTTCCACGATTGCCTGTACCCTTGTACCTCGATTTTCGAATCAGGCAGGTTGTAGAGCTCGCAGTCATATGACGCATATTTCGTCTCATGGAAACTGGCCATGTTCGCCTTGCTGACATTTCCTACGAAGGATATGTCGAAGAGTTTTGTAAGGTTTTGGGTTGTTAAAGAGTTTTCCAAAACAGGAACTCTTCCTGACAAAAATGCAATTCCCAACAAGGAAGCGTATTGAAACATGTGATTTCCTAGGCGACCTTGCAATGATATTGTCAATATCTTCTCTCGAGGTCTGGCTGTCCGCCATCTTGCCAACGCCTTGCTGATCGCTGTGTCAGACAACGAGAAGTTGAAAGGACATGTCTTGTTCGTGTGGATATCATATGAAGACATTGTTCTACCTATCTCACTGTACAAACTGTTTTCCTTGTTACGGGTGAAAGTTTGTGATTTAACAGCGTGCAGGTTGTAATGGTCCAACGTGCTTACAACCATCATCAGCGTTATTAGGTTGATAAGTAGAACGCAGACAACGCAAACCATTTTAATGGTCATAGTTTCAGCGACTTATAGGAAAAAGCAAGATTCTTATGTGAGTCAAATCGTGGACGTATAATATTGGTACGACTGCTCCAGTAGGTCGCACGTCGTTTTCAGTATGCACAGGTCCAGTCCCGTTGTAAGCAGGATCCGCTTATACGAGAAACACTTTGTTAATGATCTGGTTTACCTCTCAGGGTACCCGTGATTGGCTGTACCTGCCGTGATTTATCGAAGGGCCTATTCCTATGGCATGGTTGATATGTCCTCTTGCAGACTGACAAGCCGGTTATTCTTCGAATTCTGAAAATAAACCATTGTTTTTCTTGAACACCATGACCTAAAATTGATCATCCTCAAGTGACATTAGGGCGACGTGATTGCCTAGTGGTTAAAGTGTAGTGGGTACAGTGTCTGAGGCCCATTTCTGGTGCCTATCGCTGGAATATTGCCCCAAGCGGCGTAAATCCGAGCAGCGAGTTTGGTTTTTGGTGACAATACCAGCATTGTTTTAGCGGTTGCAAAGAATGGACTGCCATATGCCATATACCTAGGTGCTCGAAGAACCAATCGTGTCCTCATAGTTACATAGAAAGCAAAGGACAGAAACTACGGTTGTAACGAACTCAGAGGTCAACTAAATGTAGTTCGTTAGATCCGTCAGTTCGTTACAAGCGTATTCGTTATGATGAGTGAATTAGGATGTTTAGTCACATCGGCAGTATTTGATAATTTCAGCCATATCGTGGCTAACAAAATTAATATATTCTTGATACATAAAATTAGATTATAGAAAACTGTCGACAAAAGACACCAAAAAACCCAAACAATTACAATATCAGAACTTAACTGAACTGAGTGTGGTTTTGCGCCGCTTTTAGCAATATTCCAGCAATATCAGGGCGGGGAACTCCAGGAATGGGCTTCACACATCGTATCTATGTGAGGAGTAGAACCCGGGACTTCATCGTGACGAGAGAACGTTTCAAGGCTAGGCTACCCAACGCCCCCTGTACTTTAGATAAAGTTTATCCCTGATTCTGAATACACAATGCCACATGGAGAGAGGTCAAATGTATAGTGTGATATATACTACTCAAAAGAACCCAAGGAACTGTGGTATTTTTGGGTCAGAAGCTTTTAGTTAATATGCTGAAAATTTGCAGAGATTGGGTGCAAAATAATGATGTCATTTGATCGACAACTGGTAATGGTTTAAAGGTCACATTATGTTAGGACGATAAACCGATGGAATTTTGAAGGGTTGGAAATTAGACATTTTCACGCACTTTTGAGTTGCAAGTTGAGGCTTCCATAGGTCTTATTCTCCCGAATACACCCAAACCTGCTAGTGCACCTGATAGTGCAAATCTCCCTGAACATCATGCATATATTTCCCTTATAAGCAACGTTTGGAACACCGATCAATCACATGTTGAAAACCATGCCTCAATGTCGCTGTCTAAGCATTGCTGACAGGGGGAGAGCTATTTGGTGGATCCAGGAGGGTATTGCCATACGTGAGGCGGCAAGAAGACTTTTAAAAAAAGGTTTGTTTCTGCATTGAATTGACCTTAACCACCACTAAAATTTGTTTTCATCGTATCATATGTGTTTTCTTTATAATAAAAAACTTAGGTGTTCCTTGGATTCATTTGAGTGGTATAGCTGGGATTACACTTTCTTAGTCAAAAACATAAGAGTCAATCCAAAACAACTTAGATTTGATCCTTTACAGCAAAAGCGAATTCCCAAATATAACCAGTTCAAACATCTTTCTTACTTACGTTAGTGATGCGTATTACGCTTCCAGGCGATAGATTTCGTCTGTTCGTGGCGAGCCAAAGTTTAATATGTTGACAGGTGTTGTACAGGTATCATCTGGTAGCAGCTAAACTAATATTGCCTTAATGAATCAATATCTAAAGTTATTAAATGGACACAAACCCAATTTGTATAGAAACTCAATTTGTACAGAAACTGTGAACACGTCATAATTATATTTTGGAAAATGATTGTGGCGAGTTTCTTAACTACAATTTTACAAAATTCAACGAGCTCTTTTCATGTATATATAGTAAGAATTTTATGAAATAGTCTTTTTTCGAAAACTCAAAATTTAAACTACTCGCAATGAAAATACTTCTTTTTCCTTGTTCAAAACTCATGATTTTATAATTTGCAATTAAATCAAATTGTGTCTAAAAGTATCCTGACACATAATTCAACTTACTAGTATTTGAACTTCAGTGCATTTATAGCGTAATCAAAATATTCGCGCACATGGGTGATAAAATTTGGTCCATGGGCGAGAATATTCGCCTTAGATCGAAAGTCATGTTTTGGGGCAGAGGTCAGATATAGGTTGAGGGATGATATCGGACAAGATATGAAAGATGAAGTGTAATAATCTTTTAATCAATTAATACCTGCCTAAATTAAGATCTTTTTCGGTTACATGTTTGTTTGTTTTTGTATCTCTTTGTCAAAATACACGTTGTCTATTAAAAAATAACTGATACAAACAACAAAGACAAATATTCCGTTCAATGAATTTAATAAACTCGGAAAAAATAGAAATACACAGTTTCAGATATGTACAGATATCAGAAGCAAGCATGCTTTTGTCAGTTCATATCAGTTCATCTTCGGAGTCACTTTCAATAATTGGACGCCTTATGCGTTTGTATTTCCTGTCGGAGCCGTGAACTACATTAACATGTACCAGAGCATGAAACTAGCGCTGGTGAAGAAGTTCCAGGGTGCTGTCTGTTGCATAGACATGCCTTGATTGAATGATACAACACCTTTATCGTCGACAGTGATCGGTAAATCCACGACAGAAGGAACAGGAACAGGAGCGGAGTTAGCGTCCTTTCCCCGGCCATGATCAAAGGATGATCTAACATGACGTCATTCTTGATGTGACGTCATTCGATTCATTAACGTTCCGTGACGTCGTGTACAAAATTGACGGGGAAGATATCGATTTATCGATATATCGGGCTTCATATTTTTCATACAATGCCCGAGGGAAAAATTTCACTTTGTCATGGTGACGTCATGAACAATGCTATCACATCACGTTTCTTCTGTGAAGTTGCGTTCTACATGCGGCGACGGCGGGTAGTATGTTTGAAAGTAGATTTGCTCTCGCTCGGCAAATACCAACATTTAGGCACTCGTGTCGTAAACATAGTATGACATGGGCACTCATATAATATCCTCTATATCCTACCCGGGGCCAGACATGACCATGCCCATCCTGCCCATATCGGGGTGACAAAAAAAGTCCATATCAGGGAAAATATCACTGTATTAAGTGATAAACAGCAAAGTGAGTGAGTTTAGTAAGCTTACTTAGAAATATAAACAATATATTGAATGGACTGTGCAAGATGTTACGAATCGTCTCATCTCTATGGCCTGAGGCAGAGCTACTATGCTGGTCGCATTGAACTCTGGGTAGGAGAGTGTGTTTGGAGATGTACATTTTTTTATTGATAACTAACGGAGAGTGATTTTTGATGATAAATAGAATCTCACCCCCGTGTCTTCTGATATCAAATATATCGGTAAGCCTCGGATATTTGTAACTTTAACGACCCGTGGTGATATATTTGATATCAAAAGACACTCGGGTGAGATTCTCAATACATATGATGTAATTGAAATATTTGATTCATTGATGATAAACTCTTCAAAAAAAGAAATGCAAAGGTCAAAAATAAAGAAATGTATGGAACATATTTAAGCGTAGTTAAGTAGATTAAGCTTGAACACAGATGAAGGAAATTCGACACATGGATGAACATATGTATTGTTGTCGTTGTCAGCACTTGCGTGGAAACAAGGGGGCGTTCAGGTCAGTACCAGATGCGTGTTCAGAACCGCGAGCGCCCGCGCTATTGCCTCCCGTGAGCGCTCGCATCGGCCCTGAACGGACGCGAGCGCTTGGTTACATTAAACCGTTCGTGACCAACTCGTGTTATTCCGGGACCAGCCGAATAGCTTCTTGTCTTCTTGTTGGAGGTTACGGAAAGGGGCGAGTTGACGAGTGACATTAAACATGGTCGCCATCTTGGTTCGCTTGGCGAGGCAGCTGTGGGGATGGTTCGCGGGCACTCGCGGTTCTGAACACGCCTCTGGTGACACCACCCCTTTACAGCTGTCGTGCTTCGACACCGCCTTGGAAGGGATTGCACAAGTCGACGAATTTGTGCTTGGGTGATTCTTCGCCATTCCACCAGCAGCGCGTTGGCAAGTTCTGCAAATGTCTGAGGACGATGGTGACGTTTACGGACGCGTCGATCAAGTTCGTCCTATAGATGGCATCACGCTCGATCGGGTTCGGATCAGACGATTCGGAAGGCCAGGGAAGGACATTGACGTTTGCATTGGCGAGACAGGCACCTGTTACAAGAGCTGTGTGGGGTCGAACATTGTCGTATTGAAACAGCCCCCTTTGGCGGCAGTGCGCGAAATAGTTTCCAAATTTTGCTAGCCAGTCGGGCAAGCTAGGCCTGAAAGTTACTAGCCCACAAAATAATTCACTAACCCGAAATTTGAATGTAGAAACTGAGCAAAAGACAAACAAGTAAAATACCATCAAAAACAAATGAAACCATGAACTGTCACTTGCCAGTCGCGCCAGTGACTATACATTTACTGGTCCGACTGGATTTTTCCTAGCCACGGGCAAGCGGGCCAGTGGCTATTTCGCACACTGTTTGGCGGTGTTTAATTTTTGTTGGGGGATTCTACCAGAATGGGACAACATGGCTAAGTAAGCACGTTGTCTACCATCCCATCGTTGCAGGAGGTAACGCGTTTCATCTCTGAACCAAACGCGT